GTGGGGGCGTGTTAGAACGAGCCATTTTAGGGGGGCGTGGCAGAGTCTTAACTTTGATAAAGAATATCTCTTTAGTCTTTGCAACTTCAGGGATCTTATCTATGCACAATCAGCTTGTAACACTCCAAAGAGAAAGGAAAACTTTAAAATGACCCCTTTAAAAATATTGCAGAAAAAGAGAACATCAATGCGGAGAAGATACATCAAAACTGAAACCAAGCAGTTCACACAGAACACATATTTCGCGCATTTTCTAGAGGGACATTTATCAGCGTTGCACTCGTGTCTCGCACAAAAGAGCCGCATGTTTAGAAAGTCATATAAAATTAATGCAAGTTCAACTTTGAAAAAAACATATCTCGAGACTTTATGGTGGGTTTTTTTCCCCCATCCCACTGTATCTCATGTTTTTAAATGAAAAATGTACTCTGTGTGATTGGCTTTCCACCTTTTGTATTAAACTATGCATACAAACATGATGCTGTTTTGTTTATAGTTGTTTAAGTAACTTATTTATAATTGGTTTATAGACATTATTTTAAACATTATGCACTTTTTTCACAGATAGTCATGTTATCTTATGCTTTGAATAAACGTGCATTAGTAATATTTTGCTCGATGCACCCTCTTGTGGCCTCAGAAGAGAAGCCAAAAGCTTTTCTTCACCCTAACTGAAATTATGCATTTTAAATTTGAATAAAATTCGAATTTAGTTTTTCAGCCATTTTGACACCCCTATTCTATACTACAATTCTATTCTATATATACACAATTCTATATATACACAATATTCTACATATACACAATTCTATTCTACACTACTATACAATAATACACTACTATTTATGTTTCTGAGAAATGTCTCTTATACTCACCAAAGCTGCATTTATTTTATCAAGAATACAGTAAAACATTGAAAAATTGTGAAATATTATTACAATTTAAAAGAACTATTTTCTATTTTAATATATTTTAAATAGTAATTTACTCTAGCCATTTCTCCAGTCTTTAGTGTCACATGATCCTTCAGAAATCATTCTAATAAGCTGATTTCTTATTATCAGAGTTGTAAATGGCTGTGCTGCTTAATATTTTTTTGAAATCCATGAAACCATGAAACCTTTTATTCACGATTTTTTTGATGAATATAAAGTTAAAAAGCATTTATTTGAAATATAAATCTTTTTTAACATTATAAATGTCTTTACTGTCACTTTTAATCAGTTTAATGAATCCTCGCAGAATACAACTATTTCTAAAAATCAAATCAAATCAAATCAAAAATGACTGACTCCAAACTTTTTTACGGTGTACAGAAAGTCAAAATCCCAGCAGATCTTCAAACATTTACTTAATCACTGACTGTGTCTTGGACATAATACTCGTTTGTCTAAGAGCTCTGTCCAGTTACTGATTAAAACAAACCAAACAGGCAAGCAAATAATAACATCCTCTGGGCCCCCCAAAATATCTCAGTAAAAGCCCTGCGCATTTAGAAGCTCCTAAAAAAGGAGTGCCAATGTCGTTCTCACCACTGTGATTTACAGCCAGTCTAACAACCAGATTAAAACCTTTTGTACTGTATTATACATTAAACATTATTTCTTGTAATGCTAATTTATCTTGAAGATGACTGAAGGAACACAAGTTCTTATCAGATTAGGCATGTCAACAAACCAACCATCATAAGCACTAAACTTTTTGCAGTCAATTTCCTGTCTGTGCTGTGAAGTATATGGAAATACTTGTGCGCAGCCTACGCACAGCCCCAAAGGAAAAGCATGGACACTGGCTACTCACCCTGCTCGCGCCGTTTGATCTGCTGGATCTGCTCCACGGTGCTCTTTAAGATGTGGCATTTGTCCGGCTTCACGTTCAAGCTGGCAATGTCACTCATGTTGGCCGACAGTAACTCAGCCAGTTCGTCAATGTAGCGGCACTCCAGCTCACGCCGTCGCTTCTCCACACTACCATACAAACAGGAACAAACAAAGAGAATTGTACAATTTTTAGAACATACTTAAAAGAAACTTAAGCACTGTACTTTACAATCATACATGATGTATTTTGAAATATTTT